TTTGTAGGTTAATTAAAGACGTCGCTGTCCGTACAACGCATCGTGAGTGGGGGGAGACACGTGCGTCGTCGCAGCCGTCGGTTCGGCACGCACGTGAGGGTTCAGATTGGTTTTGGATGGGGTTTTTCGTAGGTAATTTTTTTTTTTGTTTTGGTTTGGTTTGGTTTTGTTCTATTTCCCTTTTGGGGGTTTTCATTATGGTGTAATTATAGCGGCCGTTTGAGTGGAAAAGATGCCATAAATAGAGAGAAATTATTGGCATCTGATTGTGTTATTAATCCAATTTTCTTCTGGATAATTAATTTACAGTTGTTTCATTTATTTTATTAGTAATAATGATGAATGTAACATTTACCTATTCGAATGTAAGCAGGGATGGATCCACCTGTAGTCCAGATTGGGCGCGTGTCCAGCGTGGAATTTGGAGGAATTATCTTTGACGATAGTTCAAATACCCGAAAATACTCGTGCATTCTCTACTAAACAAACCCTTAAAATTAATGAGAGTGTCTTACCTGAGAAATCTCAAAACTTGTTTCTATAATTTATCCCCTAAAACCTCTCACCAACATTAAATCCAAACCATTGAATTACAAAACATATTCACCTCAATTAACTTCAAATAAAAAATAAATAAATAATAATTTTCATCATAAGCAATAGGAACCTAATAAAAATGTCTTCTCACCCGCCAAAAAGAATTCTATGGAGATTTTTGCTCTCGACTCGGCTTATACGATAAGTGTATTCTCATTTTATGTAAGATTCGTTAATTTTATAATTCAGTTGCTATTGTTAGGGGTGTCCATTCCGGCCCAAAGCCCAAACTGGCCGGGCTCCAGGCTCGAATGTGTATACTTGGTACCAAGCATAAATTTTGTGTTTGGTAGTGATGTGTCATCTTCCCATCCACTCATTCCAATTTTCAACCACTCCCCAATCCATGTGAATGTGGGCCACGATTTTAATGAGTGGAGGAGGATATGTCATCTTACTACCAAGCACAAAAATTTGTGCTTGGTACCAAGAATATCCACTCATTTCCTAAAAAAATAAGGAAATTAAATTTCTTAAGTGTGGGTCACATCATCCAATAATATACAAATAACTCTGTTTGGAGAGAAAGTCGATTTCATTGATGAGTTCATTTACAACTTCAAACGTTTACAACAAACTCAAAGAAATAGTCTTCTTATAAGACTTTCAACAAAAATTATAACTTTCCTTTCAACAAACGCAACAGACGTTTATCCTCCGCTGCTTGCGTGGGATCTTAGCCTGTGACAGGGATGTTAATATCCGTGGACTACCAAACGATCAGATCAGATCCGGAGCTTCGTTGATTCGCGAAGGAATCAAGAAACCGAAATAATTATCTAGGCAATAACGAGATAATCACTCTTCTCAAGATCATCGCAACAGGGCAATCTCAATGGAAGGAACCGGGAACTGTAGATCTGACGAGCTCCTCTTTTTTATGCTGACAAACTCGATCCGATATCCTTCTCTCTTCTGAAATTCGTGCTCCTTCAGTCTTTAATTCAGTAGGGTTTCGCCGACGCTCGAGAATTCCAAATCTCAAAAAATAAATGCCCTGAGACTGTATTTATAGGCTTTTGGGACCTCTATTTTCGGATAAAAATGACCGATTCACTCTTATCCTCACTCATAACCACTTTATCATGTTCTAGGATTGGTTCAGATCAGTTGGAACAAATCCAGATGGTTAACGTCGAAAAACGGCTTGAAACTTTAAAAAATCAGTTTTCGGGGCTGCGAACGCCCGTGGTGTCTTGGCAGTGGCCGAGACACCTATGGGTGTCTCGCCGAGGCCTGGAATATTATTTTGCGCGTTTTGTCCATTTTCGTCGTATCTTTGCCGTCCGAACTCGGAATTACGTGATTCAAAGTGCGTAGGAAAGCCGACGAGTAGATCTACAAGCTCCTATAGTTAGATCATATGTGGAGCGGATGAGATATGAAGGGTGCTTCATCTTTTTATCAGCGAAGCATGGCTCCCGATCAGTTCATATCCTCGGTATTCTGCAGTTTCGTTGCTTCACACGGTTTGTCGACTTACTTCATACGTTTATCGACATCAATTAAGCTTCTATGATCCGGATAGTGACATTCATCGTCTTCTCTCTGTCTCAAGCCACGTGTAAGAATCCGTGGGTAATTTTTGACGCCTACAGATACCCCTCCAAAGTATTTCAATCTCGTTTCTTTTATAGAAGAGCCTGAAATACTTTGGATATGATCGGTCCAACCTTTAGTCGGTGAGAAAGGACCTGTAGTTGGTTTCGATTCTTAACTTATTTGATTTTTAATCTATTCAATATTTTAACGAATAGCTAAAATTCCTCTGGCACTGCGTTTATCGTCTGGCCGTCATCGAAGTCTTGAATCGAAATTGGTGAGTTGGTTTTGGCTCGTGTCATTGAGTTAACTCTAAACTAACTATCTCCGTCGTAACGTGTTGACCAGCGTTGACTCAGAACTACGTGTTGACCGACTTTGACCTAAGGCTACGCGTTGACCGGTGTTAACCTTTATTGTAATGCATTGACCGGCGTTAACATAATTTATACTCATACCTTTGCTGGAGTCTACACAATTTAAGCTCTTAAGGCATTGGAGTGTGACGGTCCTAAATGTTGGAGTTGTAGGACCAACTGTTAAAGCTGATTCATCTGCAGGTATGGATCTTATCCTGAAGTTATTGGATGCTCAAGTCACGAGACCAACTAATGAAGCTGGTGCGTCAATAACTCTCACACTTATAGGATTTTTGGCAAACTCTCAGCCATCAATGGGTTTGATGAGCCTTTACCGACTACCGTTAGAGTAGGGCTAGCATGCAGATTGTTTAAGTCTGTTCTGTATGTAACGTTATACTAAAAGAGTTAACTCTTTTAGTGCTTTAATACTAAATACATAGACTTTATCTTTCTTACAGGAATAGACTACCCGGCAACGCGTGTTAGGCGTTGACTTATTCCTTCTTAGGATTCGGGATAAAAGTCTCCAGATTTGTATTCTGGTGTCTTCTTTAATCGGTGAAAGACTAAACCGGCAACGCGTGTTAGGCGCTGACTTATCCCTACTTAGGATTTGGGATAAAAGTCCCCAGACTTAGATTCTGGTGTCTTCTTTAATCGGTGAAAGACTAAACCGGCAACGCGTGTTACGCGTTGACTTATCCCTACTTAGGCTTCGGGATAAAATTCCCCATACGTGTAAGGTACGGATTATGGAGTTGAAGGATGGCGTCTTCTCTTGGGGTAAAGACGAACCCAAAATGGGAGAGGAAGAATTTTATATTCTATCTCCCAAAACCGAAGATGATGAATTTTATAATCTATCTTTAGTTGCAAAGGAGACTCGAAGTGGGATCTCCGCCTCGAGAATATAAAGAGTGAAACTAAAACTGGGATCTCCACTCCGAGAATCGAAAAGATTCAAATAATCCTAACTATCGGAAGGTTTGATTACCGAACTAAAGGTAAATTTCTCGTTTATCGAGAGTGAATTATGGTTTTGGTCCTAACTGCAGAAAGGTTTGACCAAGCGGGAGTTTGAGGTGACCCTAACTGTAGGAATGTTTCATCACTCGATTTGAAAGTGGACCTCTTGTTCATGGAAGGAATCGAGAGGAGATTTTGGCTTTGGTTATGGTCCTAACTATAAGAAGATTTGACCAAGTGGGAGTGAAAGTATAAATCACAGTGGGGGTTTTCGATGTCAAATGATGAGATCTTGACACGAAGGGAATTTGACAATCGCAATAGATGGTTCGAATTTAAATTTTTAGTGCTATGTTAGGACTTTAACAGTGGGAGTTTAGTATTTATCACTTTGTTTGTAATGACCGGGTTATCCCTAAGAATATTACATGTAATGATCGGGTTATCCCTAAGAATATTTACTGGTAGTGGAGAGAGTAGCAGACATGTATACTTATTATATATGTAAAACATGATTACATACAATATTATGTGATTCTAAATTTAAATTATTTTGTTGTTAGAGTGGAGATGATGCTATTGGGAGCACGAGTCGTAGGGATGGAGCCGCCAGTGGCAACGCGGACGATGACATGGATAGGGCGAATGACCTATCTTAGTGAGTTATATCCTAAACTCGTGTTTGTATATTGGACATCTTTATATTGGAGATTATGATATGCATGTATGGTTTGTTGTGGAAATTTTTGTGGATTTAGAACTTATGATATGCGTGTATGGTTTGTTACGAAATTTTTTGTGGATTTAGAACTTATCGTGAAAATTGAATGTACATATTTCGAATGTTTGTGAAAATTGATTGGATGAGAGATGTTTGTGAAATTTGGATGGTATATATTTTGAGATGCTTGAATGTGCAAGAAATGTCGTTGTTTGTAGATTTGTATGTACAGAGAATTGATATGTACAGGGAATTGATTATAATCAGCAAAAATCTTTTTAGCTGCTAATACCTATTGCTGACGGGATTACCGTCAGCGATGTATATAACATCACCGACGGGAATCCCGTCAGCGATAGGTTATCGCTACGGGATTCCGTCGGCGATGTGAATAATATCGCTGACGGTAATCCCGTCAGCGATATGTATCGCTGACGGGATTCCCGTCAGCGGTTGTGGGTTCAGCGCTGGCGAATTGTCGTCAGCAACAAACATCACTGACGGGAGCCCCGTCAGTGATATACATAACATCGCTGATGGGATAGCCGTCAGTGATGTTTCATTATCGCTGACGGCATTTACTGTCAACGTTATTGCCATCAGTAATATCCATTAC